GGACATCAAATGTGAAATCTAATGTGGTCAATTAATTTCGTCTTAATGTCCTGCAGAATACCGAGCAAAAAGGAGGGGGCTTGGATCAAAGAGCACTGTAGGAAAGCGTGGGACGAGAACGTACCCTTCAAACGGGAGATGTACGAAAATTGGTTCCAAGGTACCAAATTCTACCTGGAAGATGACGAAACCTTCAACAAGGATTGGTACAACAAAATGTTTCCGGATGTCAAGGTGAGCCAGAACGGCCGAACTATCACATTTTTATAATCTTTTATGAATTAACGCCTTAATGTAATAATAGATTAGGATAACGTTAGCTGTAAAATCTTAACTGCTTTTGAGATGAATATTTAATCGCCATGTTTACTAGCCACACATGTTGACAAAGTTGAAAATTTGACACAACTTAGTTATAAAAAATTATACAATTAAATAGACAATCAAGTCTGATACGACAACCTGCAATGTAGAGAAGAATTTTACAGTAATTATTCTAAAAAATACTAATTTATATATCGTTTTAAACATGTTAAAAAAAATAAAAAGCACCGATACCGGACTCATTACTAGTATCCCCAAAATAATCTTCAAACAGATTAGACAATTACAAACAGTATAGACATTTTGAAATATCGAAACCAAAGTATAGATGGCAGGAAGTATCGAAACATATACTTCTAATTATCGAAAAAAATATCGATAAAAAAGAATAGATACCCTAAAGTATCGTAACAGAATTATTGATAACTTGAAGTATCGTAACAGAATTATTGATAATCTGAAGTATCGAAATAAAAGTATACTAACTACTAGGACTTATTGGAATTATTGGGAAAAAAGTATCTATAAAAGTATGTAAGCAAAGGTAGTAATATTTCCAAATTATTCAGCTTTTTGACAGCAGCAAATTTAATAAATATCTACTATACTGATAACAAGAACAAGAATTAAATAAATAAATGAGCCCGGCTGGAATGGAGCCCTAGGCCAATGTTTCGGGGCGAAAATGACCCTTGGTGGTTAACAAAAAGGACGTTTTTGAATATTGTAATAAAAGTATCGAAAGAAATTTTCAGTTCCTATGAAGTATTGAAACGGAAGTTATCGATACTTCGAAGTAACGAAAGAAAGAGTGTGAGTACTTTTAAGTATCGAACTAAAATTATCGATGCTTTTAAGTATCGAAAGAAATTTTCAGTTCCTATGAAGTATTGAAACGGAAGTTATCGATACTTTGAAGTAACGAAAGAAAAAGTGTGAGTACTTTTAAGTATCGAACTAAAATTATCGATGCTTTTAAGTATCGAAAGAAATTTTCAGTTATTATGAAGTATTGAAACGGAAGTTATCGATACTTTGAAGTAACGAAAGAAAAAGTGTGAGTACTTTTAAGTATCGAACTAAAATTATCGATGTTTTTAAGTATTGAAAGATAAGTATCCATACTCTTAGAGCAAGGTTAGAAACAAAGGTATTGATAGTCGTAGTAAGTATCGAAACAGAACATTTAAGTATAACGAAGAAAGTATCGACACTTTTTAGTTTTAACTATCAAAATAAAAGTATAGGTAGCATGAAGTATCGTAACAAAATGATTGATAGCCTGTTGTATTGAAATATAATTATAGAAACCAGGAACTATCGAACCAGATATTTTTAAGTAGGTATTGATGAGTATCGACACTTTTTAACCATTGAAAGAAAAACATCACTAATATGAAGTATCGGAATACAAGTATTGATATCCCAATTAAAATATCAAAGCCATTGATACCAGGAAATATAGTAAAATGTCGCGATACCAGTATTTTCAATATTTTCACACCTCCATGAGATTTAAAGTTTATTCAAAGACAAGATTTAAATAACAACTGGTTCAAAATATAATTAAAATATAATTGGACTCATAAACTCACAAATGGATTATGAATTTAAATTACTATTTTATAACGTTGCAAAGCATAAAGTGCAAAGTGAAAGGCAATCGTAAATCAGACTATGCAAACAACAAAGGAGTGAAAAAGATTGAAGATTTTTTTTCTTAGTGGCTTGTTGTTTCATAATTTGTTGAAGTTGTGAGGAGCGGTCAAGAATGGGATAGTTTAGAATAACACCTTTTTTTTTCTTTTTTTTGCCGACGTTTCTACCTTTATTCGGGTCATCTTCAGGGCCTGGGTAAATTAAAAAACATATATTGATTGGAAAAAATACAATTTAAGATGTAAATATAAATTGTACTTTTTTTCCAAGATAGTTTAAAAAAAACACATTTTTCCTTTTTTTGCTGACGTTTCGACCTTTATTCGGGTCATCTTCAGGGTCTGGGCAAATTAAAAGCATACGTTGATTGAAAAAAAATACAATTTATATTTACATCTTAAATTGTATTTTTTTCCAATCAACATATGTTTTGTATTTACCCAGGCCCTGACGATGACCCGAATAAAGGTAGAAACGTCCGCAAAAAAATGAAAAAAGTTGTTTTTCTAAACTATCTCATTCTTGACCGCTCCTCACAACTTCAACAAAATTGATGATACAGTTTTAAACGTTTTTCTATAAATTTCAGGTTTGCGACGCAGATTTGGACGAGGTCGTGCTGGCCCGGGCTGGTGCCCTTCGGCAGTCGGTGGTCTACTCTTCCAGGCCCCACGAAATGGACTATCCGAGCAAGATCACCGAGGCGTTGCCTTTCTACGACGCAAACAAAAGATCCTCATAAAGTCTAGTTCCTGGATGGCCAGTATTAAATCTGATGTTAAAATATTTGTCACTTGATCTTTTCTCTTGAAAGCCAATAACGGAAGTTTGTGTTATTAGTCGATACTTTTTGCCTCTGACCCGCGGCCCCGAACTTTCTAAAAGACCCCCCTTATCTCGTGAAGAATCCGAACTCTTATTACTTTCTTCGTTAATTATTCCTTGGGTTTTTATAAACTATAAAATACCTCTGATGAGTTTCAAGATTCAACTCACAACTTTTTTAATGTTTAAGGTCGACTTCCTGAACTTTACTGAACAGAGCCGTCGGTAGTTTTATGGAAACTAAACGGTACACAGGCTCGAACGAAAATAACCTTTAATGGGGTTCACTTAGCGGATATTTTTAAACGCTATTCCATTTTCTGTTAAATCTTTGACATTGACCAACTTACGAGCTTGACATTTTATGGTAAGGGCCTAATTTTCTGTCAATTAGTCTGACAGACCAAAACTCATTGAGTAGACTGACCGAGATTAGAAGCTTAATTGTCTTACAAGAGGTGGCGTCGGATTTGGGATTTTAAAGAAAATTATTTTGGCGATACTAGGTCGAAAAATGTTAAACCAAGTATTGTTAGTTCATTGCGTTAAATATCTTACAACTAGCCTCAGCAGAAGTATCGTTGATATTGAAATAATTAACAGAAAAAACAAAAAACAAATTGTACATTAAAAAAGCTTTGTACATTGTACATTAAGAAAAAAGGCAGACCAGATTTGTACTCTTGGCCAGTAGACCGTCAGAAGGGTTTTTGTAAATGATGAACTTACAGAATTTGTTTACTACTATCCGGATTTCAAGCATTCAACGCTCATCATCAGGTAGAAGGAGTTACAAACACGTTTCTCGACATTAATTCTCGGATGACCTCCTTCATCATTTAGTTGTAAACAACAAATTCTGTGAGTAGAACCATTATCATCAAAAATTGATGATCCAACATCTTCTTCTTGTAAGTTTATTCAAAAATATTCGGCTGGCCCAATAAAGCCCTAGTTCAATTATGTCTGTAGATACACTAAGTTGATTTCTTATAAAATTCAGTTATATTATGGAATTATGCCCCTTCGTTGGAAATTTTTTGGTGATTTAAGAATTTACATACGGTGAAGAAAATCGTGAAATTATTGAAACTTAAGGAAAAGAAGTTCTCGACGATCACACGCGGCTTTTGTTGAAAGATTTAACAGTGAAAATATTTCTTTTGAAAAAAGGACTCAAAGCGATGCTCAGTGGGAATTGAAGAGATTGGCAGGAGGCCACAGAATCCAGTCCCAAGTAAGTACTTGCCAAGCAGTGTACAGTGTCGAAAGACCGTTAGCCGCCATCTAACGACATGAAAAACGTGAAAAAGAACAGTAAACTGGTCCCGCATGAGCTTACGCCAAATCCAGAAAGCCCAAGCAATATGACATTTTACCCAAAACCACATGTGATCGACGCACATACGGAAGTATGAAAAAGATCAATGACGTGTGTTTTTTGGAACTACAAAGTAGTTCGTTAAGAATTTGTTCCAGATGGATATTCGATTAACTCTAAACTCGGCCCTGAACTGTTAGAATGAATGCACACCAAATTGTGACAGCTTTACCGAGCATTGGTCAACCGGAAAGGAGTTCTGTTCCAGCAAGATAACATAAGTTTCAATTAACACTTCTTTTTATGTAAAGTCTTGCGTGCATCTGTATAACGGGAGCAATGCCCCACAGTTGGTAAGAAAAAAATATTGGGCTTCATCCCCCTACACTACATGGTAATGAGGACAGCACAGAAAACTAAAAGCTAAAAGAGAAACCTCCAACAGGAATACAACTAAAATGGAGAGACAGCAACAAAATAATGAAGGACCATCATGAGTCCAAGAATCGGCATGGACAGGATGTTTGAATTCAATCAAAACTTCCAAATAAACCTAAGTACCAAAAAAGAATGGGAACGAGAGGAAAGCTTGAAGGATGGTACCATCTTTGGTGACAGAGATCTAGAACACATGAAGGTACAGGGGTAGGAGTACTCGGTCCTAGATCCAAATACCTAGAACCCACGGGAAAATACACCAGTATCTTCCAAGTTGAGGTCCACGCAATCTACAGATGTACTCACTTCAACTTGTCTAAAGGGTACAAAAACAAGAATATAGCTATCATGTCAAATAGCCAAGCAGATCTGTGGCATAGGAACCCACACTATCAATGAGTACCTCAGACAGAAGGACAAAACGAAAATGAAGGAACAATGGAATTCAATATTGAACATAAATAATCCAAGAATCCGCTAACAAATTTCGGAAGAAAAGAAGTTACAGAACGTGTCAAAGGAAACAGGAATAAACTGCGAATCATAACAGGATTCTTAACAGGACCCTGCAAGCTAAATGGACACATAAAGAAGAATAATTGGAATAACATTGGAATAATCCAAGACGGCACATGCAAATTCTGCAAAGAGGCAGAGGAGACACCAATGCATCTTCTAATAAACTCTGGTGCTACACATAAATATTGAGGTAAAGAGAGGAAATGTCGTATGTCTACTGGGACATTCGGGTGCGGCAAGTCAACGTTTTTAAAATTAATTGCAGGGATAGAAACTTGCCCACAAAAGGAAGTGCTTTGGAATGTGCAATGTGACCATAGAAAAGATTCAACCTCTGAAACTGGGCCTATTAATCAAGTTCCTTGATGAAATAGGACTGACCGGTGTGCTTTAGGCAGAGGACGATGGATACAATAGCCCTTAAAGGACGCAGTATATTATACCCCGACTAATACATGTACATGTAAGGTCTTGGTTGAGATGAAAAAGTTAGTGTCACGAGCTGTACTCGAACCCAAGAGGCTCAATACGCCGCTGCTCTAACCACATGAGCTATCGCGACTTCAATCTACTCGGATACCAACTCCCCATCTCAGCCTTCAAACATTCGCATTTTTTACCTATTTTTGCCATTTTTCAAATGTCGTGTAATCAGGGTTCGATTCTCAGCGACTTATGAAGTGGCCACGGCGAGCTGTTGGTGAAGTGATTACTTCTTTACTTATTAGTTATTATATTAATCCATTTATGTTTAGTGGTCTGATTGACCATATTAATCATTTTAATTAATTATTCTTTTTCTGTAAGGTCTTGGCGAGTTGGTGTCCGAGAGGGTCTAAATCACGATAGCTCAACTGGTTAGAGCAGCGGCTTATTGAGTCGAAGGTCGTGGGTTCGAATCTCTCTCATGTCACTAGCTTTTTCATCTCAACTAAGACCTTACATAAAAAATTAATTGAAATAAATTATATGGTCAATTAAAGCACTAAACATAAATGAATAACATAATTTCTAGCACCAGAGGGTTTGAAGAGGGTAGTGTCCACTATTCTTTGATATGTGACGTCACTGTTCTTTCCTGTAGATTCGATTTTTTTTATATTGACTTTAAAATCATTAGAAAGGCAAATGTTATATTTTCCGCCGAACAATCTTAAAATGTCACAACTGAGCCGAATACGAAACATCGCCGGCGAAACGGTACAATATATAGATTTGCGAAATCGGCTGCAATTCTTTTGATTTGGCAGGTGCGAAAAGGTTCACCTTGGTGTTTCGCAACTGAAGAATAACGAGACACCAAGGCGAATCCATGCTGCGTGATGAGCCGAGTCATTCTTCGCGGGTAATGCCCGTCCAGTACAGATATGGGTCACGGAGAACGCAGAATGTACTCTGGTTCTAAATCTGATATTCGTGACCGGGCATCGCGGTACCCGGTACTCGACATTTACACCGAACGTTCTACCGTGTTTTTTCTCCTCGCGGTCCTTTATCTCTTAATCTACACCGCTACGCTTGATCGACAGGTGACGATAACCTCTGAAATTTTCTTACGGCCGGCAATGGATGAAACTAAAAACATAAAATAAACTAGCACTAATTAGAAAAGAAGATCTTACAAATTATGGCTATTACAAGACATGGCTATTGCCTATTGGTAGATCAACGTGTTTCTACTGGAGATTTCACCCGAAATCTTCGCGTTGCACCCTCATTTATAAAGGTCCCTATTGTGAAACTGTTTATTTTTACAAATGTCATCTGAATTACAGAAGAATCGTGCTGACAACATAACCGACCTATCCCGAACAACTGAACCAAAGAACTGAAAGCATCTGCGACCTGAAATTGAACGCCTATGACTTTGGCAGTCGTTGAAATACAAATTGGGCAAATCATCATAATTTAAATAAAAATCATTACCATTTGCGATATTGTTCTTCTGTTGGATCATTTTTTTTAATTCGCTCTTTAAGCTCCCCATCATCTTATCGCCCTATAGTTTGTTACCTGTTCCTTCTAAATTTTTTGAAAATTAATTTACAAAATAAATTATCTCTATTGCTACTTCAAACATCTTACCAGGCCAATAATTTGGCTTTCGAACCCATCATTCCACTACTCATCAACTTCACAGAGTTACAGATTTCATTACTTCATGTCTCGAGCAGAAACTGTACGTTACTGGAGTGTTTCTAGACGTTTCTCAGGCCTTCCATAAAGTACTACATGAGGGATTATTATACAAATTAAAATTATTTTTACCCAAGGCCTATTATCTGATTGTATAATCATACCTTAAGGAGAGATTTTTCGCAGTAAACCAGGGTACGGACAATTCCGAGATGGACGAAGTGCTTGCAGGTGTGTCACAAGGGTCAGGTGTTCCCATCTTTACTCGGTGTTGAGACCCGTGAGGATCTTTATCGTCCAGACTTATCCCCAAGGGGACTTTTCAGAAGCCTACGGTTCTCGAAAGAACACCAGGAAGAGTTTACATGCATGGACTTGTCACATCCCTTGGCTAGCGAGGTGGTGCAATAGTAACCAAGTTCAGAAGTGCCCTAAAAAGGGCACATCCATAGATGTGCCTTAAAAAAGGCAGTTTTGGGGTTTACAGCACTGCCTTTTAGCCATGCCTTTCACCACCCCCGGAGAGATAGAGAAGGCACTCTATCTC